ACATGCAGGTGATCACTGACTGTCTGGAATCCTGTTGCCCACTTTACAGAGAGTGTATGTCGGCGCCCGTCTCATAATGTTTGTCTTGACATAAGGAATGACGAATACGCAGCTATTTCTTGAGTTACTCCTTGGAACAACAAACCCTAGTCGGTCAAGAATGAAAGAGCAATCGATGTTATATTCGATAAGCTTTTGTAGAAACTTTTCATAAAACGCATTTCTTCTCTCCGTCAAGGAAACCATATTGTGTCGCGCAAGCAAATCATTTTGTGGTATACCTCGCTCAGGGTAAATTCCATCAGATTTGTAAGAAAGAAATTTTAAGAATCTACGATGGACTCGATCAAGGTTTAAGAACTCATACGCATATAAGGGACTCCAAGTCAGGCAAGCGTATTCTAACTAATTCAGAACGTAAGCACAATACAAGGTCTTTAATAAGCTGACACTTGTGAAATATTTAGACATACGCATCGCAAAACCTAGGGACCTAAAGGCCTCCGAACACACTATTGATATGTGTTTTAAAATTAAGACTTGCATCAAAGAGGACCCCCAAATCCGTGTACTTCTCAATACGACTTAATGTGCTGGCAGCACTTAGTGTTTAAGTTGTGCTGCAGCTTATCTGCATCTGCCTCCGATGAGACTTAGGCAAAGATCTTGATATCATCAGCATACCCGTTTTATTACCCCATTTATGAAAAGAACAAATAATAGAGGGCCCAAATTTGATCCCTGTGGAACCCCTGAGGTAAGAGTGAACGAAAGAGCTCAATTTATGCAAGAGAATTCTATGGTCAATCAGATCAAAGGCTATGGATAGATCAGTGTATACAACATCCACTTGCCCACGTCTATCCAAGGTGCTACAGATAAACTCGGAAATCGTATCCAAGTTGGTAATTGTAGAGCGATCGGAAACAAAACCATGCTGGGAAGCTGACACAAAGAGGCGTGTGCCGGTGTACATAAAAGAATATAATAACTTTTCAAATAGTTTAGCAAAATTAGAAATTATCGAAATTGGTCTATAGTTTGAGAGGGACGTACGATCATCCTTTTTATAAACAGGCACAAGTCTTGATCGTTTCCATCGTGCAGGAAATTTACAGGAGGTAATGGACAAGTTAATAATAAATTTAAGAGGGCAAGCAAATATATAACGGCAGTCTCTGATCATAAGTTTTATGGTCAACAAATCATCTCCAGCAGTATGCTGATAACCTCCTTAGTCGCTTAAATTCGTTAAATACAAATTTTTTTGTTTTGATCAATTTTTTGTGATAAAATTTTTTAATATTAATATGTCTCTTTATTTCCGCCGAAAACCACCGTGGGTAAGAATTATTAGATTTGGTTTTAATAGTGACATGTGTATTACTTACGGAGTAAATGGCATCATAGAAGGCATCCAAAGCCTCATTGACATCGGTATGGGAAAGCAAAAAACCAATCATACTTAAAGAAGTGATCATATAATGCAGAGTAATTTTTTAGTTTTCCCTGCATATTCCTACTGCAGGGAAAACAATTTAAAAAGTCAGGGTTAAGCCTGGCAAGTTGGTCTCCCGGCATTAACACAACAAACTAACAAAATTCATGTTAAAGTTATTGAAATTGAATTAATGAAAAATAAAATTACACCGCAACAACTAAACAATACAATTCGGCAAAGACCACGTGAAAAGTTAAAAAAAATTCTATCTTACAAATATATCAAACCCTCCTAAAACTTCAGAGAAAATTTAAGTACAATGGGAATAATCTGTTGGTTTTGCAAAGAACCGGTCTTATTGAGGAGGAGGTTGTCCGTGCAACGTCACCATGCATTAAGTATGATGACGACAGACCTGCGTTTCCTCCTCCACCCAACTACTGAATCCACTTCCAAGGCAACCCACCAAAAACTAGGGCTACATAATCGAACACAGCTCCTGCCGCCAACCAGTACAAATCATTCATATGGAATTATGGCTGTCATCCATAATCCTATTCAACTCTCCTTTACCTTCTGTCTCTCTCTTCTCCTCCCATTCGAACACTCTTGCAAGGTATGCTGCAAGCTGTCCTCACTGACCTCACACACCACCCATCCATCCGTCTGTCCTTCATAAACCTATAGACCACTCTACCCTCCTATCTCACGTCCCTTGACCCTTACCACCTTACCCGCTCTCCTCATCCCTACATCATCTCGAAACTCTCATCCCAATTCCACTATCCTACCCATTTTCTTCGCCCTCTTAAATACTTTCATAACGCCATTCAACTCTACACTTCTTCTCTTACTCATTATCAACGACTCTACCGTTGTCATATTGTCGTTACACACCATTAAAGGGTAAAGCCATGGAGTCGTTAACGAAAAAGGCGCAGATTCAGAAGTCGAAACCACCAACTCATCCACCGACATCAGAAATGGTTAACGGCGGTATTAAGAATCTAGGTGAGCGCGGCGGTTCATCATTGTAAGCAATCAAAAAGTACATAAAAAAATTCTTGAAAGCCGCCACCGTTTCGAGTGTTCTTATCCAGACCAAGGGCAAGGGAGCGTGGGAGCACTACAGATATCAAAGAAAAGGGGACAACAAAAGCAACATCAAAAGCGATAGACACCCCCAAAGGTCCGACGAAAAAGCAAAAAAAAATCCTAGGGCATTTAAGCTTTTCAATGTGTGCAAAGACAGTTTACCAGTGATGTGGCGCTCTAACGCTAAAGCATGGATAACTCGCGATGTGTTGTCATTCTCGATCATGCACCGGCACATTCACCAGATTTAGGAGCAGAATTGGAAGCAGAATTTGGGTGGATTACGGTGACATAAGACTGTCACCTAAGACCTTCCTTGTACAACCCACGGATCAATTGGTAATAGCCAATTTCAAGAAAGTCTATATAAAACACATTTACCGAAACACTTTCAAAATTCGAACGAATTCGACCGTATCGTTGGTCGATATACTAATGAATACATTATATTTTTATATACAGGTGTCCCGTGACTCGACCGACAAACTTATACCATATATTCCGGGTGTTATTACGATCAAAATAATATATGATATATCAACTATAGGTGAATCCGTCTTTATTTCGAAGATATCGACGGTATTAAAAAAATTGACTGTTAGTCTTGACGATTTACCGTTTGACAAATTAACGATTTTTGTGGTGTCTTATTAATTTAAGCCATTATGTCGCATTTTGCTAATGCAGAATATGCTGATACGGTTTTCGTATATGGTTTTTGCAATGGAAGTGGACATGCTGCAGCTGCGAAGCACCTTAGGCGATACCCCGATCTCATTGTGCCTCACCACACAAAATTTTCAAACGTTTTTCGTTACTTGAGAGAGACGGGATTATTCCCACGTTGTCGTATAGAAAGAGATGGAGATTGGCACGCTGAAGCAGTTTTAAATGCAGTTGAACGAAGTCCTACTACCAGTATTCCTGGAATATCTCATACAACGGGAATTGCTCAGACCAACGTATGGAGAATTCTACACTATGATGGACTTTATCCCAATCGAGTACGGTATTGCCAGTGGTTACAAAATAATTTAGAGGTTATATCACACGTACTTTTTACGGATGAGGCCCAGTTACAAGGAATAGTATTAACAACAGATGTAATTCTTACATCTGGACTTATTAAAACCCACACGAAATAGTCGTTGTTAACTATGAATATCGTTTTTCCGTCAACGTGTGGTGCGGGTTGTTAAATAATCATCTTATTGGGCCTCATTTTTTTTTGAAGGACGTCTTAGTGACACTTACCTGCACTTTTTTGAAGAAGAATTGCCGAATTACATGGAAGATATTCCTCTAGAAGCTCGTCGTGGCATGTGGTTCTAGGAAGATGGGGTACCACCACATTTTGGGAGACAAGTCGCACAAGTGAAGGTATTTCTTAATGAAAATTTTCCGAAATAGTGGATAGGACGAGGTGGTCCTGTACATTGGCCAGCTCGGTCACCGGACTTGTCGCCTCTACATTTTTTCTGCCTCAAATCTCGTGTGTATAGTCTAATCGTAAGCTAGATACACGCGAAAAGTTGATTGTCAGAATAGTTGAAGCTACTAATTCGCTAAAGAAGAATTGACGATAATTAACTGGCAACATTCTATGACACGAAGGATAGCTGCATGTTTAGAAAATGGCGTTTCTCATTTTGAACAGCCGCTGTAATTTTGTGTTAATTAGCTATCCATTCATAAATAAATAAATGAATAAATTTGCTTTAATCATTTTTATTTTTTTTATTTATTTTTATTTCGATATCCCCGAAACAAGGAGGAATTCACCTACATATATGTGATATACCATTTTTTGATCATAATGACCCACAGAGTGTATGGTATAAGTTTGTCGGTCGAGTCACGGAACACTCTGTGATATGTGTATATTATTTTAATTATAATATTAAAGGACTTCTGGATAAGCTACTATAATCAAGCTGTTCTACTGAAGAATAAAGCTTGGGCCGAGTTCACGGGAAGAACTCTAAACTCTGCGTAGACGAAACTACTGCCGTCAGTTATTTCCGATGTACTTCATTTTCCATTAATTCTTATGGGATAATTCGGTTCGGAGTTCGTCGGTTTCTAAGGAACGGATTACCGACGAACTCCGAAGCACCACTGTAACTGTAATCGTATTGCGAATCAGATACATACATATCTAACATTACAACCTTCGTTGTGATCATCAATATTTGAATGCATATGGAAGCAAATTAAGTTTAAATTATTCAATTAAATTTATTTCATATAAACTAAAAAAGAAATTAATTTTTCTTGATTAAATCACATCTAAAGTTCACATTGAATTCTTATTTAAAGGCCACCATAAAAATATTACACGCTATTACGTTTAGAAACTAGAAAATTTACATTATCCGAAGTCCATACTGAACAGCATTTTTGCTTTCATAAAATTCACAGATTTAAGAGAGCAAAACGAAAATTCTTTTTCATAAAACAAGTGATTGGTTCTGAAAAGAACCGGTCGTGTTGGGAAGGTTTGGTTGATTGATTGTAGATGATGCAAATTAGGCTCTTTCGCCGCGAATGCGCCTAGCAAGCTGAATGTCTTTCGGCATGATGGTTACTCGTTTTGCATGAATTGCACACAAGTTCGTATCTTCGAAAAGTCCGACCAAGTAAGCTTCGCTCGCCTCTTGCAAAGCCATAACGGCGCTGCTTTGAAATCGCAAGTCGGTTTTGAAATCTTGGGCAATTTCTCTAACCAAACGTTGGAAGGGCAACTTTCTAATCAGAAGTTCGGTACTTTTCTGGTAACGACGAATTTCTCGAAGAGCTACGGTTCCAGGTCTGTAACGATGCGGTTTCTTGACACCACCAGTAGCGGGGGCGCTTTTCCTTGCCGCTTTAGTTGCGAGTTGTTTACGTGGCGCTTTACCTCCGGTAGATTTTCGAGCAGTTTGTTTCGTACGAGCCATTTTACTTTATTATTTAACGGGATACGTACGACGATAAAGAAAGATCAGAGAGATATGTATGTATGTAAATCGAACGGTATAGTTTGTCAAAGTAAACTGAGAGATCGCTCGGTTGAAGGCTGCTTTATAACGTGTTCGTGACTGCTTCGGATTGGTCGAGTCGTAGAATCGGTAGGCGTGTCCATTGCGCCACTATATAAGGGCGGGAAAAGTCCCGGAAACGGTAGTCCCTAGTCGGTGCTTGTTAGTTTGTCGTTATACTTACATAAAAAGAAAATCGAATTATCAAAGAAAAATGACTGGTCGTGGAAAGGGAGGAAAAGGTCTTGGGAAAGGAGGCGCCAAACGTCATCGCAAAGTACTCCGTGACAACATCCAGGGCATCACCAAACCAGCCATCAGACGTCTTGCCCGTCGTGGCGGTGTAAAGCGTATCTCAGGATTAATTTACGAAGAAACTCGAGGAGTTTTAAAGGTTTTCCTTGAGAACGTTATTCGCGACGCTGTCACGTACACTGAACACGCAAAAAGGAAAACCGTCACTGCTATGGACGTCGTTTACGCCCTTAAGCGGCAAGGTCGTACTCTCTACGGCTTTGGGGGTTAAGAAATTTAAATTATGTACCTATTTTAATTTTGAGGACGACTGTTCTGTATTCAACATGACCACCCGGTTCTTTTCAGAACCACTATATTTATGAAAGTTAAAGAATATTTTCACATACAATCCGAACAATTACGTACATATGTATACTTCAGACTACCAATTGACGGCCGCAATCCTGCGCAGTTGAAAAGTGCTGCCACCGTCCGACTGAACCGTGGACTGGTCAGCGACGTTTTGTCAAGCGTTCCAACCACAGAATATTATGTTATTCTGATTTATGTTCCAACGGCCGTCAGACAAATTCACGTATAGTCGTCCACACCAAGATCCGGAATTACGATACGGCTGTAAAAGACCCTTAACAATAGAAGGGGCAATAGTTTTATGATGGTGCACATAAACAAGTCATAAATAAAGAGGTATCTTTTGAGTTCACACAAATCGGGCACGGCATAAGCATAATTTAGAAGAATCAGATAGTGATTCTGACTAAGTTCGGCCTTTAGGCTTACGTTTTCGATGTTATTAGTATTATTATTATATAGATTACTGACCAATACAGTTAAGTGTAATGAACTGAAAGAAATTCATTGGTACGTCCCTGACTTTCTAAACTATGCAGTGTTCTCGGTCTCGTCTTAGGTAGAAATGGTTAAGTACCCTTAACCGCAGAGAAGCGGGGGTCTACAATTTATGGGGGTTGTAATTCCGGATCTTTTCCAATTGTACAGCCTGTCTGTTAGTATCTGTTATGTTTACTATGAAAGCGTATATTTGGATTATTTTCTATTCTTTTACATGTTTCGGGTATTTTGTTTAACAAATTTTATTTCATATTATGCATGTTTTATGATAACTTTTATAGACAAATTAATCAATAAATATGTAAACACATGCATATCTTTATTTCATTTTTCTACTATTACCGCTATTAGGTTTTTTTAGTTCATTACTGTTAAAAAAATTAGTAAATGAATTTCGTTTAAAATGGTAAACTGTGCTTGCAGCACCAATTCTCGGCAGGGTTCCGTTCCAAGGAACATGCGCAAAAGAAAGTCGTGAATTAGTCGTGTACGCGTACAGGAACGGGGCAAATTTGTACGGTTGTTCGGTTGGAACGAACTTATCTTAACTATTATAACTTATGAAAAAACACCATGTTGTTTGTTATATTCAAAACTCGAAGAATCTATGAGTAGGGNTAAATTATGTACCTATTTTAATTTTGAGGACGACTGTTCTATATTCAACATGACCACCCGGTTCTTTTCAGAACCACTATATTTATGAAAGATAAAGAATATTTTCACATACAATCCAGACAATTACGTACATATGTATGTGTGTATGTACGTGTGTTAGGTTGGTTCCAACCAGACTTCAGACTACTAATTGACGGTCGCAATCCTGCGCAGTTGAAAGGTACGACTGCACCGTGGACTGGTCCGCGATGTTTTGTCAAGCGTTCCAACCACAGAATATTATGTTATTCTGATTTATATTCCAACGACCGTCAGACAAGTTCATGTATAGTCGTCCACACCAAGATCCGGAATTACGATACGGCTGTAAAAGACCCTTAACAATAGAAGGGGCAATAGTTTTATGATGGTGCACATAAACAAGTCATAAATAAAGAGGTATCTTTTGAATTCACACAAATCGGGCATGGCATAAGCATAATTTAGAAGAATCAGATAGTGATTCTGACTAAGTTCGGCCTTTAGGCTTACGTTTTCGATGTTATTAATATTATTATTATATAGTTTACTGACCAATACAGTTANTCACCGATAAGTTTTACTAACTAATCAACGAACAACAACAATGCCACCGAAAACTAGTGGGAAAGCAGCCAAAAAGGCGGGTAAAGCGCAGAAAAATATATCGAAAACCGATAAGAAGAAGAAACGCAAGAGAAAGGAAAGCTACGCTATTTACATTTACAAGGTATTGAAACAAGTTCATCCCGATACCGGTATTTCGAGCAAAGCTATGAGTATAATGAACAGTTTTGTGAACGATATCTTCGAGAGGATAGCCGCTGAAGCATCCCGTTTGGCTCATTACAACAAAAGATCAACGATCACCAGTCGAGAAATCCAGACTGCCGTCAGACTTCTGTTACCTGGAGAATTGGCAAAGCACGCTGTAAGCGAAGGCACCAAGGCTGTTACTAAGTACACAAGTTCCAAATAAATGGCGATATAAACGTCCCCCTCCCTACCAAACAACGACCGGTTCTTTTCAGAACCAAAAATTAGTATCTGAATAAAGAATATTATCGCAATTTACAATATTTTTAAGTTAATAGTAGGTAATATACATATGTAAGTGCGATCCTTGTAAGTTGTATATAAGTTGTCGAGATCGTTAATTTGTTTGATAATATCCTCCTCATAAAGGTTGATAATATAAGTACGAAGACTTTCACGGCCGGTATTAATTAAACTAGAACCTTTCGAGTAAAGCCGTGCTTCTTTTGAAAAGATGTTTGTTACCGGAGATGGGAGGGACAGGAAACACGTGATGGAGTCAAACTCTCAACAACACTTAACAGGGTTTTTTATTTAAAATATTTTTTCACAAGATTAGTAGTAACGATATTTGTAATATAATATCCTCTGAGTCGAACGGCCTTCCTGTTTATCCCAGCTTGATGAATTCCAACCAATGGGGTGCGTCCGACCATTCGGCGCGGTCTTCCCAGTGTTCGAAGGGACGGTAACCATCCCTTGCGGACCAACAGGTATTTCGTTAAATGATTGTCTATCTACCGGACCAAAACTTCAAAATGAACTAGTCGATGTTCTGCTTCGTTGGAGACGATATCATCCAATTGTCTTTATGATTTTGAAAAAATGTACAGGCAAATTCAAATTCATAAAGACGATCAGCCTTTGTAACAAATTGTGTGGAGAGAAGATCCCTCTCATGCAACTCAAACATTCCAGCTCTCCACCGTTACTTATGGTCTTTCTATTGCTCCATATTTAGCTATCAGATGTTTACATCAGCTCATTAAAGAAAATTCACAAAATCTTTCAATGGGTTTTGAGATTCTTCGTTTAAATACTTATGTTGAACATATTTTCGGGAGCTAACGACATCGATGAGATTCAAGAAATGATTTTTCAGCTGAACAAGGTTCTAGAGGTTGGTTGTTTTACTGCAAGCAAATGGGTTTCTAATAACTCTGAAACTCTTAATTATTTACATCCCGAATTATTGTCGCAATCGTCTCTTCATTCGGTTGAAGAAGATAACTCTCCACGAGCATTAGGTTTACTATGGAATAATTTCGAAGATCAATTTCTATTCATTTGCCGAGCATCCTATAATAGTTCAACAAATACCACAAAACATGAAGTTCTATCGTTTATTGCGAGATTATTCGATCCCCTAGGGTGGCTCTCTCCATTGATAATAACCGCAAAAATCCTAATGCAAGAATTGTGGGTACGATACCTTGATTGGGATGAAATTTTGCCTCAAAACCATGAAAATAAATGGAAAACTTTCATAAGCAACTTTAATCAAATTCCTACTATACGAGTACCTACGTGGCTCGGAATTTCAAATACCACTGAGTCGATTGAGATACACGGTTTCGTATATTGCGCGTTTTAACAAAAGTGACACCTTTAAAGCGCGTAACTATTCCGCGTCTTGAACTCTGTGCCCCGCTCTTACTTACTCGCTTAACCAAACGTGTTCAATATGTGTTTGAGTTCTCCAACTGTCCGATTCACCTATAGTCTGACTCAACCGTCGCGCTAGCTTGGATTCAAAATCATCCATCGCGTTGGAAGGACTACGTGAGGAATCGAGTCACTGAAATCCATGAAGTACTCAACGTACAATGGCATTACGTCCCTAGTGATCAGAATCTAGCCGACCTCGTCTCTCGTGGAGTTTCAATGTCACGACTTCAAGAAAAGTTTTGGTGGTTTGGTCCTTCCTGGCTTACTTCATCATCTTCTCAATGGCCAAACATTAAACCAACTCCTCCTGATGAATCCAATGGTGAACAACGAACTGCATGTTCACATACGTCTGCCTGAATGAAGGTTGGAACTAAAACATCGTTATTCTTCTCATGTTTGATTCTCATATTTCAGATGTTCGATCTCCTGCTGAAATTGAAAATGCTTTAATGTTTTGGGTTCAGAGTCAACAGCTTCAGTTTTCCGAAGAAATTGCCTTATTGTCATCAAGAAAGGTTATTCCAAAATCAAGTTCTCTCTTCCGACTGGCTCCATTCATTGATGGCAATGGATTTCTCCGAATAACTGGTCGCCTCAAATTTGCTAACGTAGAATATGATGAAAAACATCCGATTATCATTCCCAAGATGTCAGTTATCACAAATCTCATCATCGATCATCACCATAAATGTACATTACATGGAGGTACTCAACTTATCTTGTCTTCAATTTGACGACGATTCTGGGTGGGTGGTGGCCGTATTCTTATTCGTTTCTACATCCATCGATGTATGGTGTGTGCTAAGCAGAAGGTGATAACCAGCCAACAACTCATGGGATAACTTCCTCCTGCCCGAGTCAATCAATCTCGATCGTTTCTTCACTCGGGCATCGATTACGCTGGACCGTTTCAATTGCGAACATTCAAAGGGTGAGGTAGAAAACTCTATAAGTGTTATATGATAATTTTTATTTGTTTAAGTACATCAGCTGTTCACCTAGACGTCGTCACCGATTATACCACTGCTGGATTTCTTGCCGCCTATAAAAGATTCACATGGTCGCAGAGGAATATGTCAATGTCTCTACAGTGATTATGGTACAAACTTGATCGGTGCCGAGCTCTTTTAAACGGAGCTTTCAATGAATGGAGACATTTGGCGAACATTCTGAGCAATGATGGGGCATAATTCAAGGACCGTCAAGTCACTTAAAAAACGACGATTTTTTTATCGATGTAAAATTGCCTAAACAACACGTCAAAAATTAAAAAAATAGTGCGGAAAAGTGTCAAACTTACCGAAAATCACAAGTTTCGCAGTGACGTCATATTTTGTGATGTCATCAGCCATACTAACCATATATGTATCTCCGCATCACCATGGGTATTATCAATCGTTTCCTTTTTTTACACCTAATCACATAACATTAATCTGATAAAATTCAAAATCAAATAATTTACACAATATTTATAAAAGAATTAACAGTTTGTTACAACGCATATTTTCGGTTGAAATACACTTCTTTCTTAAAATTGTCGCATATTTTAGTATTATGTATATTATATTTATTTTTTAACTATGAACAATAACATTGTTTTTGTTTTTTCTCGTTTTTTAAAGGATAAATTCTTGGAAATACTGGGTAAGGCGGCTTATTTTTGTACCACCTCTTCTTTATCGTTTTGCATTTCCTTTCAATCATTCAAAAATTGATACGTCCAGGGACTACCATTATTTCTGTTTGGAGAGAGAAGAGTATATACATTTGAAGGTTGTGTTGGGTTGGGACCACCATTATTTCTGTTTGGAGAGAGAAGGGTATGTACATTTGAAGGTTTTCTACATTCTATAAATTTTGTAGACCCAGAAACAGGCGCGCATACCACCGCAATAGAGTCTACGTAGCAACATGCCAAGGGTAGCATGTCCTCCTTTGGTCGGACAAAGGGCCATCTGCCAAGTAATCTTACGAGATACATGTTTAGTAAATCATGTGCAGGAAAAGGGATTGATAAGGCCAGGGAATTTTATATAATAGGCTGCCTTAATATACGACTCCACCAAGCCAGCAGAATAACGTGATCCGCAGGAGGTAGGTGATGACTATCCGTCCGACAATGACGGTCATTAAATTTATTCACATTTGGCAATTTCAAATATTCATATTTGAATTGGACAAATTTTTATTTGTGTTTTGATTTCCTTTTATCATCGTGTGTGTTAATAAATGTGTAAATGACAGTCGTACTTTAACGATGAAAGATTTTGTTTATGTTTTTCAATTTCTACCGGTTTCAGCGTGTTAATGCCATCCTCAGGAAACCACGTTATACGATTTTGTTTTCTTTTTATTATACTATTTTATTTTCTTTTCTTCTAATCTCTATTCTATATATTGTTCAACTCAACTTGTATTTGTTGTTTAATATATTTTATCTAATTTACATAACCACGTCGTTCGTTTATTTCTAGGACTAATTCTTGTTTTAAAAACTGAAAAACATAAAAAGAAAATAAAATATTTCATCGTTAAAGTACGACTGTCATTTACACATTCATTGCACAAATTTGTAAAAAGAAACATAAAAAATCAGATCCACACGAGGTGGTAGATGGCAAATAAAAACGTTTTAGCCGAAAATGTGCGTTATAATATTAACATGTTAATTCTTTCATTAAATTTGAAAAAATTGTTTAATTTTTACTTACTTTATTCGTGTTGTGTGCGTGGATGTGGAAAAAAATTTATCGGACCGGTGTTAATTGTACTTTTATGAAAAATACGTCGTAAGTAAATATAATTTAAGCATAATTTTTCACTTTTCCGCACTTTCTTTTTATTTTTAACGTGTTTTTTAGGCAATTTGACATGGGTAAAAAAAGTCTTCGATTTTTAAGCGACTTGACGGTCCTTTAATTTTCCCCCCCTTCTATAATTGCAATAGCCTCCGTTATAAACACTCCAGATATACCACCATTATAAGGCGCATCAACATAACTTTCCTCTCTAGAAGGAGCATAATATGGACACAATCAACCAATACATTCTTCAATGTGCTCCTTGTTCATATGTAACTTTTTCCATCATTCTGCCTATAACTATTAAAACTTCCCCCCCGCGCGACAAAGGTATGGACTTTGTTAAAGAACTGTCTCTGATTAAACTTGTATCGTTTTGCATCCGTATACAAAACATGCCCTGTTGCAAAACCTTCCTCTGGAATTTTCTTATAACATATCTCCTACAATTAACAACCCTGGAACCTTCACTATTCCACCAAAGACAATAATTATCATCATTTTTTTGAAACTTGAAACCGATTGAAGAGATAGTTGAATTATAACTAGAACTAACACTAGAAACTAAAGTAGTTTTCGGGATACACGACCAATACGACAAGGTTAGATAATTGAAAAAAGGCTTCCTTTTATCTTTACCAAGCTTTCAGAAATTTTATTTTTCCTTCCTCAGGGTAACTACAATATTGAGACAACAAAAAAAGTTACAAAAATTCATAAATTTATCTTAAATTACATACAAAAGTGGATTGCGCATAAAACTGAACCAAAGTTTAAACATGAGGTCGCAATAATTGAAAGCTAAACATCGTTTTAACCACTAAATCGCTCCAAATTCACAAAAGTAACAATTCGACATCAAGTACTACTAAAAACTGTGAAAAGTTAATTATAAAACTATGAAAATTGAATATTACTTACAAAATCAGAAACATTACAAAACCACGTTAAAAATTACGTTAAAATTCTACGTTAAAAGTTAAGACGCAATAAGTCAGAAAGTTTTTATACAATTTGTGCTATACCTGTTGACCGCATCGACGATGTTATGGATATTTTCAATAACTTTGATATCCATCTACAATTCACTGTAGAAACTGAATCTAATTCTAGTGTTCCTTTTCTGGATACTAATGTTATAAGAAATTTAGATCAAACTATTAGCTTAAATTGGTATACTAAGCCAACGTATTCAGAGAGATATATTAATTTTCACTCAAACCATCCTCTTAATCAGAAACTTAATTATTAATCAGTTTTCCGACTTATATATTGTACCCGATTTTCGCTTTCGTCACTTCGAACTAGTTTAATACTTATACATATGAAGAGATAGTTGATTGATAAGAAAGCTAACGAGAAGGTAGAATCGGGGAGATGTAAAAAGACGACGAAAATTAACATGTTAACTTATTTATTTACTTTTTCCTTTATTTTTATATATCGATACTTTTAATGAAACAATTTTCTCATTGTAATTTTAACTTTTAATTGTTACACCATTTTAATTTTAACTTCCAATGCACCCGCTAATAATCAATATATTTATACAAACTTGCCATGATAACCGTTGCTTGAAAGCATAAGCGGCAAATTCGTCTCCTTGAATATACTTGACCATTTCTAAGAATTCAGCAGCGTTTTCCGCTTCTATGTTGTAAGTAACGTCATCTTGATTTAATGACATGTTTGAGAAAATAGCTTGGATTTCAGATCGATAATCTCTGGTTACCGTTTGGTTGTTCCATCCCAAAAGTTCGTAAATTAAGTCAATAACTTTATCAATGTCGATACCCATTTCAGTAAGACGTTCGGCGACGCGTTGAACTTCTTCTAAAGCACGGATTTCTTCGGCCATATTGTAAGCTTCTTCGCTGGAGATTATTTCGAAAAATTCTTGGAAATCCGGGCTGTTGTTTAATTTGTCGTTGAAAACGGTAAGTGTTTGGGATACATCGAGAATTTTATGAATATCATCGAGGAATTCCCTTAGAGTACGAGCAGTCACGTCATCAGAGCATTTGGATATCTCAACGTCGGCGACTAAATCACGGAAATATTGTATGATACCATCAATGTCAACTCCGGCGTTATCCATATAAACTTTGAACTTTTGCCATGATGGATTGGCACCAACTGTATCGATTATGCTATTCCATTCGGGCCCTTGCATATAATTGACGACTTCTTGGAATTCGCTATCACTTTCAGCGTGTTCACGAGCAATAGCTTTAATTTCAAGTAATGGGATGGTTGCCAGAATATCTTGTAAATCTTGTTTCAAATCACTACATAGTATAGCTGAGGTCGTAGCTATAACGACGAAAAATAGCAAAGCGAGTTTCATCTGTGAAGAGACGATTCAAATTTGCAAAGTTAATTATTTTTTTAATTGTGACAACCAAAGTATATCTTACCTTGTACGAGAACGTATCTAGTAACTGATGATTCCAACCACTTGTCCGTACTCTTATATAGTAGGTGGTAAAGCGTAAATATGATATTCAAAGAATCTCACTTATATCAAAGAAGATTAAAAAGTTGTAAATGCGAAGCAAGTCTTAATCCTTGATAAAAACACCAATAAACTATATTTAAATATATATTTAATGAATTTCTATTGCTTTAATACAGATTAAAAAGTTATAAACATTGTTTTAATCCTTGATAAGAGCAAAAAAACATATGTTTTAAACGGAAACTCATCATACGTCTTTTTCATTAACTGATAATTTGCCCAAAATTATAAAGGTCTTATTTATAATCCTTGATTTCCTTTTCTTTTATTATTTTTTTAGCAAGTACAAAAAAATGGAGTTTTCTGTATTATTAACAAATTAAGTTATTCCTTTAAAATTAATTCAGCTTTGTGATATACATAAATTAATCTCATAGTGAGTATCAACTAATTTGATATTTCCGGGTACCAAAACTTATAAAATTCCGATACTATTGCGCCTTAACTGTTGATAAGAGTACCAATAAAAAAATACTTAAATATATTTTTAGTAAAATTCCGTTGGTGCAAAACAGATTAAGGCGTTATAAACAATTTGTCTTAATCTTTGATATACGTAGCAAAAAAGAACACTATGAATTTATAGTTCCTACCAACATTTTCATTAAGATCTAAATTAGTAAACAAAAATTCAAATATTGATTTATTAATAATTCACTGGCAAATTTTTTCGACAAATAAAATAACGAAATGCTATATAAGAAATTTAATACATTTCTAATAAGGAAATCAAGATATTTATTGCAATTCTTCTTTGTGAGTAGATGGTACAATCTGCGAAGTTACACTATTGACTTCTTAAATGATTTCTTGCTTAAATAATTGTAGTCAAAAACAATATTTGGATTTGGCGCCGATAATTTACAAATAGGCAGAAATAATAAAATTTATACTATAAATGCAAACTATTCATGAATAAACTATACAGAAAGTTACATCAGTTGCTACAGCATTTGCTATAAAGATTGGATGCTTTATAACTTAAACAGTTATTGCTGTAGCTTTAAACTCTATTGGTAGCGTATATGCTGGTTTGCTTTTGAGATTAACGATTGTTTTAGATATTTAATTATTGTGATATCGTATTTGGTTCATGTTTATCCCGTGACAGTTTAAGGAGGGTTCAAGTGCTTCAAATTTTCGTAGAAAAGATTATTTGAGACTATCAAACAGGGTTCAGACCAATTAGAAGCACTACAGACACAACTATTTGTCGTAAAACAAATCCTAGAACAGGTATGGGAAAGAACGAAACATCGTATACAGCAGAATATGATGGACGGAGAATTTGTCAAATCATGGAGAGGTGGAAGAATATCTGAAAATTTTGGAAAGAATCTGTAGTAATAGATAATCATACCTAAAAATCTTTGTGGAGCTTTTAAATTTTTAGGTTGTTGAAAATCATTAATTGCTTTAATTCTTGATTGTGAAGGAAAAATTCCTTCTGAGGGAGCATTGTGACTGAGAAAGTCTACAGAAGAAACTTCAAAAAGGAATTTTTATGGTTGAATATTGATACCGAATTCGCTTATCTCTCAAACAATAACGTTATGAAGCGTTCATCTTTATTTTAACTAGCAATAAGAATATCGTTTAAGTAACGAAAAGAAAATTTCGACCAGAAAGTACCTCATTAATAAAACATTGGTATATTTTAACGTGGCGAGATTTAATTAGTCAATTGATTGGCGATTTGGCCAACGATTGGCGTCAAAGACGCCAATGGTTGGAATCCTTTCTGGGTATCCTATGTAATGGAGAAGAAACTTGTGAAGAAGATAGACGACAAATGCCTAAAGAAACCATATGTTGAAATCCGTTTTTTGCTATAGTAAATTTGTCAGGGTCTAATCATCGTGCACGACAGAAAGGTAAGTGTGAATTATTAATTATGCGATGTTGTATCGAGTGTAAGACTGGAGAAGAGAAACCTGTGGTAAAGTAAGTTTTGGATTTTTTTTTATGAATTTGGTAAATTTATACTAATATCCATGCATCCAATGGCGCTACAGCCCAATTCGAATTTTGGTCTCCACAATTTTCCTGATTTTCCTCTCTCATCCATCTCTGTCTTCTGATCTTTCTTTCTAGTTTGCAGCCAGCTGTCTCTAAAAAAAACATAACAAAATAAATATTTGTTAAGTTACTGACTGTTCTTTAAAATTGTTTTTGCTGAAACGAAATTAATTCTAAAATATGTCTAATAACAATCTTAGTTACTATTTTTACAATTTAGTGATTTATAATATTACCTCTGTGTGTGCTTTGGTATCTGTTCCTCACTCCATATTCTCCTAATAAGCTTTTTTTTCAGCAGACAATGGTATACTTGTCCGTTCAGGATCAGATATGAACATTGCTCCTGTATCATCCCATGATTTTGTATTAGATTTACTATAACATAAAATAGAAAGTTCATTTTCAGTCTCATTTATGGTGGTGTCTTAATTCGAATACTGCTAGTTCATTTTCTGATATACCTTTTATTGAAGAGAACACAAGATCCAATATTTAAAGTGTTCCTAATTTATGTATTATTATTATTATTATTGCTGCCGGGCTGAGGGGAGCGGCCCCTTTCGTTACCGCGACATATAAAATCTATTGTTACTTTAGCCCTCCAAAGGTTTAGGGTAAATATAGGTCCTTAATGAACCTTAGTATTGATCTGAGGTTTTGAAGCTTTATGTTGGTAGGTGTCAAGAGAGTTTTACTGAAAATTTTGTGTCTTAGACGACCTCTGGCGACGCAATTGCACAGCATATGTTCAGCTGTTTCTAACTCGTCGTTGCAAAGTAGACAAGTTTAATCCTCAGTTTGTCCAATGTGGAAGAGGTGGTATTTTAGGGGCTCATGGCCGGCCAGGTAACCGGAGAGCGTCCTTAGATCCCCTTTGCTGAGGCATAACCCCTCTTTGGTTTTGTTTTGCGACAGAGTTATCATACTCTTCGCTTGTCTGTGACCTGGAAGTTCGTTCCAGCATAAGGCTACCTTTGAGACCTCCCAATTGTTGATTATTTGTTTTAGGTGGCTTTTTTGTAGTCCACAGCCTGGTTGGGGTCCAATGAAGGGCGTGTTCGCTGCCTCTTTGGCTAGCTTGTCCGCCTTCTCATTGCCCTCAATGTTGCTGTAATCTGGAAGCCACCATAGCGTAACTACATTGCCCCTAGCGAGTTCTTTCAGGTTGCTGGTACACTCTCTGATTAGTGCGGAGTCACACGTGTAGACCTGAATTGCCTTTAAGGCGGCCCGACGGTCTGTGAAAATGTTTATGGATGCATCTTTTTGTCCCTTCTGTAGGTTCAAAGCGGTGCAGAAGTTTATAGCTAGAACTTCTGCTTGGAAAATTGTTATATCCGAGCTGAGGGGCAGTTTAATGTGGCTGTTTGGTCCACTGATGTCCATAACTACTCCGGATCTAACTGTCTTTGACCCATCGGTGTACCAAGCTAGGGCTCCTCTTTTTAATTGAGGTCCTCCCTTCGCCCAATCATCCCTGCTTCTAAATATAACCTTATACCGCTGGTTGAAATTGTATTCTGTCAGTATAAGGTCCGTTTTAATTTCAATCAGGTTATTTAGACATGGGTCCTTGAGGATTTCTAGGTGTCCTCTGAGGTTGCCCTGCATCAACTTGAGTGAAGAAACTATTTTCAGTGATAAGGCACTTGAGCTGCCTCCTTTTGTATATACAGGGTGATTCACATAAGAACCGACACAGAGCAGGGACATGTAGAAGACAATAAATTAAGATGATTTAACGCAACTTATCTCTATACTAAGTTGTACCCCTGAGAAGTTATAGGCCTTCAAACTTGAGTCTTAAATTTTTAAAACATTGAATATCTTCGCAATACATCAAGCTAGAAAAAACAAATTTGGTATACGTTATGAGTGTACCGAAGGTAATAATTGGTAGCAAGTTGAGACCATGTGGCATTTAATTCTAAAACTTTTTTTATTCTTATTTTTTTTTAAAAACATTGTCGTTTTCATAAAAAACTCAAATAACGTATTTCGTTAATGCTACTTAAAATCATTGAAAATTCAGTAGTCGGCTGTGAAATTGTACGTCAAACTTGACAAATAGGTTATAAAACCTTGTCATCAAATAACTTTATAACCTGCGTTGAATTATTACAGGCGGATTCCGGAATTCACAGAAAAAGTTTATTTCTCTTTCCGTGTCGAATCTATTGGTGAGTACAGGGTGTCCCAATTTCGATGTCCGTATAGGCTATCTCCGAAACTAAAAGAGATAGAAAAAAAGTAGCTTACATGTCATGATCTCGTTTTTCGAGAAAATGCTAATGCCGAAAACTCCGAACAGCAGAACTATCGTCTTTTGTTTTCGCCCTATCGGTAAAAACTGCAAATTTTGCAAAAACGACAATCGCAAATATTGGTGGAGTATTATAAATAAAACATTATATGGCCAACTTTTTATGAAGAATTCCGTGGCGTAGGTAGAATTTTTTTCCCATCTTTTATTTTCGATATTTTAGACGTAACTTTTTTTTTTTAAATGGAAACCATAGTTGGCTATACCCTAAAATAATTTGTTATTTTCTTCTGATAACAAATATATATAGTTTGTTTATTTCTTATAGTTATTGAATAATTAACAAAAATTCATTTTGATCTATATAAAACTAATGTATGTATTTAAAAGTTAATGTTGTTATGGTGATAACCATACCATACATACATTGTTTCCAATTATTGCCGGGACACCTGTATACAGTGTGACCACAAAAAATAAATTAAGGATTTCTTCATTTGTATAATAATATATTAAAAAACAAGTTTCGTAAGACACGTTTGAAATACACGAATTCAAGTTGAAAAAACGAGTGGCGAAGCCACGAGTTGTTTAATGAATGAATGCTTCAAGTCTTATGAAACGTGTTTTTTATGCTATTTTTTGTAATTCGCGTTTTTATCCTTTTTTTTTCTCAAAGATAAAATAAATTTTGACAATGTAGGGAAATCGGTATGTACCAGTTGGTAATACC